TATATATATTGAATCAGCAGCTGACCAAGGGAAATGTTACTGCACATTCGAACCTTCACACACAATTCAGAAACAAAAGTTTAAATATTTCATAGTCTGCAAGTTGTTGCTTGCTTTTTTACGTTTCAGGCAAAAAAAACTGATTTGAAAAATCTATATGATTTAAGAAGTCATAGTTCAAAACAGAACGTCGTTAATCATTGTCGAATGACCCCTCACAGACTTTGTGTTCTCGTGACTCTCTTGTGCCGGTGTCGTTTCCATTCATCGGTATCGTTTCGTTGTTTGTGTCGTTGGAGTCTTTGCATGTTTTTTTCCAGGTGACAGTTCTGTCAGCCAGTTAATACAGGTTCCCTGCACGCCGAGAGACCCCCGTGCACTCATTATGTGACGAGTGAAGGCGTAAATCTCGGCTGTTGGGTGTGAAGGGAGGGAGGAGCATGAACAGGAACGTCTTAGGGGGTGCAGAAGAACAAAAAGGATCCGTCCACCGATTTTTTCCCTCTAAAAATGTTTTAATTACTTTTGACAGAACGCACCAATGCGTTCCAAATTTTTATATAGGACATAATTTGTCTTGATAACTCATAAAGAATGTTCTGCATCCGACCTCTGTTAAGCAGCCTGAGATATCTTTGTCTTCGTTAACTTGTATAGAATTTGAGTTTGATTTCAGCATTTGTTATACCATACCATACCATACCATACCATACCATACCATACCATACCACATCACAATCTGTCTTGTCCTGGTACCCATTAGTAACATAAAATAATGCTCACCATGACAAACACATAAACACACATGTACTTTCAGAACTGGGAAAAGGTCACAACCAAACAAATCGCATTTGGCAATAAAATAATTTTATTAAGCAAAAGAATCACGTGATAGCCAGGAATTTGGTGCATGGCATACAGTAAACAGGGCGAATGTCTAAAGGACAATACCTAATTTGAGTTTGTGATTTAAGGACTAGCGGTCTCTCCCGCCTCCATCCTTTTTTCTAATTTCGAATTGTCTATCCCTACTTATTCCGCACGGTTTCCATAGAGCATTTTTTTCAGAATCTCTCTGAACTTTGAACTCATGGTGTAATACACAAAGATGTTCACGGTAGAATTTATAGCCTCTATAGGTGTCAAAATTGTCCAGACCAGTAAACACAACGTCTGGTATTTACCAGGCACACTGTAACCGGGAACAAATAACATAACAATGAGGTTCCCTCCAGCGGGCAAAAAGCAAGCAATGAATGTGAGAGAGATGATAGAAATCATTTTTACAACTTTTTTGTCTCTGTTCGCTACAGATTTCTGCTTGGCAGAGCTTGAAGTTGAAGTCAACTGTCGCCATTTTGAATTACGTGCAAGGTTTTGGACAAGGATGGCAGTGCAAACAACAATGATGAAAAAAGAAGCAAACAGGGCAAAAGCATTGATCGAAACAGAAACATCCTCAATGAAAAAGCCATTAAATTTGTACACCAATCCTATCTTCGTCTGGTTTCTTTGGAGAGAATATCTCGGCCCGAGACCGGTGACATAAAACGCTGGGGCGATGCTGGCAAACGTGGTGAGATAAATCCCTACGATCATCTTGATGGTTCTGCTGGGCGTGAGGCTTGCCTTCACTGCGAGTGGCCGGACGATACCGGTGAGTTGAAAGCTTGAAAATTAATGGCAACTTTTGCCACTTTTTGTGGCAACTTTTGAACAAAAAATGGCAACAAACGCAGATGCTAGGTTAGGGATGGGGGGGGGGGGGGGGGGTTGGTTTGTTTTTCTTTTTTTTTTTCATTTTCTCTTTTCTTTTTCGAGGGGTAGGGGGGGGGGTTCCCGTCCCCGTCCATTTGTCACGGTTCTCTGCAGCGGCCGCGTCTCTCTTATTACCAACTTACAGCGTTTTGAGGTGTTAGCGTAAGCTCGATACCACACCGCAAATCTTCGAGTAAAAGCTATAGGTGCACAGAGAAGAGGTCTGATATATGTACATGTATTCTGTTGATTTGCACTGTGTTCTTCACTCTTCTATGCGAAAAAAAAGAAAGAAAATCAATGCAGATTTATAGAAACAGAAACTCGGATTAAAGCCATCTAACATTTTTGCTATCATTAGTATCATTAGTATCATTAGTATCATTAGTATCATTAGTATCATCCTTATTGGGATTTTCCCCAAATTGTCTGTCTTGGTGCTGTTGTAGACAGACGTTTGGGGGTTCTCGTCGTCCAGAGGTTACGGTGTCCGATATGTCCCTGGGTCCCATTCAATAGGTCCCGGGTTCGAAACCTGATAGCGACGGGAAATTTTCTTCTCTAAAATTTTCTCCTTTCCTACTCTACCTATGTTCTGTTTTTGTCTCCACTTTCTGCCCCCACCCCACCTTCCTTTGCCTCCTCCTATGGGTCACAAGAGCCGCCTCAATGGCTTAATACTAATTATTAACGAATGGGATCGTTTTTATGAAATAGATGAGCTCCTGGCTCTTTCTGCAGCTTTTCTACTGCTACTCTTTGGCTCATTCTTACTGCTGTCTTTCAGCCACATCCCACATTCTTAGTAGTCTTAGGGTAAGTAATTCTAACACCTAGCCTTCGTCTTGGATAAAAGTGGAAAATCTCAGAGGTCCCGCGTGCAAGTAGAGCACGTTAAGAACCTTGATGGTCCGATAAGAGTAGGCTTCGGCCGCCACCCAGGCAAAATTCAAAATAATTCCTACTAAACTGAAAATGTTTAATATGTTCCGCGCGTTCATATGACCATATTATCCAGTTGTGAGCGCCGTAAAAAACACTTACCAAAACATAGATGAAGATTTAATTCGGAGTGTAACCACGCAATGTTTACTCCTGCCTTCCACAAAGGGGTTTCTTTGCTACATGTACACGGTATGGTCTGTTCCTGTACATGAATGTATACAGGTATAGCCTTTGTCTATGTGGTGTGGAAGCCACTCAAAGAAACTTGCCGTTTTGATCAGGCAGGCAGAGGCACTTATAAGTTATAGGTGTCACAACACGGTGGAATCAGGCAATCGTCAATTTTGTGGCATATGGAGTTATTGGTATCATCTTAAAGCCTGTCCATTTGCCTTGCATTTGATGAAAAAAAATATCAATTTATCTTGGATACAAGTCAAGATATAGGCTATTGAAGGAGGTGGTTGCCTTGTTTCAGGGGTAAATTTATCGAGAAATGGCTGCCGAAGTTGAGTTATTTCCTTAGCTTGAGAGTCTGTGGGAACTGAAAATTAACAACTTGTATGGCTCTAATCAGTGTTTTTCAATAAAATTCACACATAAGTGTGTTCTTTAGTGAAAATTTAGTGGGCATGAAAGGTGTTGAGCCAAAAAACAAAAATTTGATAAAATTCCCAAACATGCAGAAAAATGCTAGTTTCTCGACTTTCCATTATTTTGACAAGCGTCTGATTTCACCCACGTCTGCCTCACATGATATAGATCTACAGAAAAAAAATATTATACACATGCATCATTTGTATATTATCTAAACCATGCATACCGTCGCCTCAAACTATTTCGACCAAAGTGCCTCTTTACCAAAGTACACTTTGCTTTTGTTTTACGGCGCTCGCAACTGCATAATAAGGTCATATGAGCGACAGAAGATTAGAGGTGTGGCAAGAGAGTAGCAAACATAAAAAAGGAGCGGAGATAAGGACGATAGATGTTTGAGTTTGATAGGAAAGAAGGAGCAAACCACACCAGACACCCGCCAACCACCCATAAAGTACACTTTGGACAAAATAGTTCTGAGGCGACGATACATATATAGCAGGCTATTACTATTTATGTTATCCCAACATAATATCAAATCAAGTTCAGTCAACCTCCATTTGAAAGATACGTATAGTTATTACGAATAAAAAAGAAGATAAAGATGAGGATTTTTTAAAGTATATAATATCAGTGGAAAAGATAGGAGCAATAATTGATAAATTAGTTGTGGGTCATCTATTTCATAAAAACGTTCCCATTCGTTAATAATTATTAGTAGAGTACAGTGAGTGGGCTCTCGTGACCTAGAGGTTAAGGTGTTCACCTCTCATTCAAAGGTCCCGAGTTCAAATCCGGGTAGCGACGGAAACATGTTCTTCTCTAAAATAATTGTCTCCTCCTTTCCTGCTCTCAAGCAATGTTCTGTAGTCTGCTTTTGTCTCCACTTTCTGCCCCAAGCCCCTCACCTCGCTTGCCCCCTCCTCTGGGCTCCTGACTCTCTGCAGCCTTACTACTGCAACTCTTTGCTTCCTTCGTACGGTCGTCTTTCAGCCAAGCCCCGGATATTCTGGTAGGAAAGATCTACACCTAGTCTTCTCGGACAAGGACTAAAAATCTCGGAGGTCCAGTGTGCAAATTTCCCACATTAAAGATCCCTTGGTGGTCTAAAATCGATAAGAGTAGGCTTCAGCCTGGCAAAATTCAAAATTTCCGACCAACTTAAAATGTTTAATGAGTCCCACGCGCTCATCTGACCTCATGCAGTTGTTTGGTATGTTTGATTTGATATTGGTTGTAGGTGTAGTTCCAGTTTCAGTGAACCCTATTCCAGTACAAGGGCTTGTATCCTGTTTTTTCTTAGCACCAAACTTTTGTAGGAGTTCCTTTGGAACCAAAAAAGTATTTTTCTCCATGTACATATAATCTTTAAAGCTGATTAAAGAATTCCTTTGACATTTGAGGGCGCGAAATTTGAATTCTATGCAACAAATACAAGGTCCAAATTTAGGAGAAAACTTCTTACCTAGTACATTCTCAAAATGTATAATACCTGGATTATAGTGAAGAAAAGGAATTTCTGATCACAATAAATGATCCAAAAAGTAAGTAGGACACTAGGCCACAAGTGCCCAAACATGCAAAATGCCCATTATCACTAAAGGTAGTTTAGGTAGATCACCTAAGGCTGAAAATATACTGCCACGCACAACTGAAGTGCACTGCGAAAAAAGTCGTGCCCTCCTCCTTATTTTATTTCCTATCGGTGATTTCACTGACACGACTAGACGTGAGGAGAGAACCCAAAAAGACGTGCGTGTATGCAGCACATCTTTCTCAAGTGCAGACAGGGTCTCAATCTTACTTCTGTCTTGTATGTATCAATCGAGATTTTATTTGGTTCCATGTATCTCTCAGTATTATTTCCTTTGTTGGTTCTGTAAGGAATATTTTCATCAGTAATGATGTGCAAATCTGCAGCACACAAATCTAACAAAGCTTTGTATTTATCAGGCGTCATTCACACATAATCCACAAACTTCTCTTTCTGTTTGAGCAAGTCAGGTTTCAAGTGGTAGTATGCTCCATGTTGTCTACTTGATCTGTTTATAGGATGCACTCCAAATCCGCGACAACGCTGTATTCTGTCTTTTTCTCCACAGCCACCACACAAAAAGTTTCTCACGCCAGCTCAGCGCCATTTTTTTTTACACCGTCGGACGGAGTTGCACCAACCACTTGGATCACCACTTCCGACCTAGCTGCTCGTCTGTTTCACGGCGCCCATCAGTTCTGCGTGGCTGTATATTTACAGCCTAAGACTAAGAAATCAGTTCTTTCAACCCTGCCTGTCAGGCTATGACTATGACACTGAGTGGGACACATCCCATCAGAAAATTGGAAACGATCAACACAGTATTGCAGGAATCGAACTCTCATCCTTCGCAAGCAAGGAGGAGAACTTAACAATCAAAACAATAACCAAATGTTGTGAACCTGTAAGTTGGTCAAAATTCAACCTCTATCCAGTACAAAAAAACAACGCTTAAATCAAAAGCATTATACAACATTTCATTTATTTATGAAAGCAAGAAAAATGACACAAGGAAAGATTAAAAATCAAAATTAAAATTTGGATGAAAGAATGACATTTATGTAACGGACAATGAAAACTTGCTAAAAATAAGGTAAAAATCACAAGCGTGTGCTGAAATAAATACTGAGATGAAAGCGTCAACTTGATTAACTATCACTGGGTGATGATAATCTAAAAATGTGTTTGAAATATGTTGATAAATCACTGAACAGAATTATATTTCTTTTGAAACACACTGATTAATACATGATTGCTGTTTGTGTAAAAAGGGGTGTTTAACAATAATGATTGATTCATAGATAATGTTATATGCAAAGACAAACCAACATGAGAATATGAAAAAGCCCACTAATCAATTTCCAGTTTCGAATCTACAGTACAATAGACCAAATGTAACTCAAAGATAACGAAACAAGGGAGCTCTGTGGGGATCATAGCTTATTATATATTATATCTTCTTAATACATGTATTATGTATCCTTGTCAAATATCTACTACGATAAATACTTATGTTGTAATATTTTAGCCATTATCTCTTTTTAAAATAAAGTCAATTTGGACTTTAGTCCGGCAACATTAACTTACATTTCACAACACAGTATTACTTAAAATAACGCAGGCATACAGTATTTTAGCAATGAATGAAACTTTGAAAATCATTTATTAATGGATTTTAAATCTTTCTTAAACTTTCTAGCTGTCAGTCACAATAGAACACAATAATAACTTGTAAAATGCCATGTTCACAGTGCAGCAAATGGCTGCAGAAGATGGTCTGAATACAAAATGTGAAGTGAGCACTACTGATAAATGAGTCACAATCATGACTTGGGGGACAGGGGGGATAATTGAATCTATGTTTTATTGGAAGATGATGCTGCCTTTCTCACAATGAAGCACTCTTGGAATTACAGAAAACGAAAGGAACAGACTGGGAACAAAATTGTACAAAGCACACTTTAGAAAACCACTGTCATATTATAGGACACTGACACCCAGCATTTTCAGCTGGTAATCAATAACTACACTACTGGATGCCCTATCTCAGAATAAGGCCTGTAAGTTCAATAAATTTTGTTATTGCTCTGATCCTCTCATTTCAGGTTCATCTGACGCAACATGGTCATGGCAGAAATTTTGTATTTCATTCAAGACGAAAAATACCAGGACCACTTCTTTAATAATATCAACATGCGAACATGTGCAGATGACAGGACTGTGTCAAGGAAAGCTCTTGACAAAGAGTCCATAAGTTGTTATCAAAAAAGCTAAATTAAAACATGTACTATTTTAAGACTAAAAACTGACATTATGCGCAACAAAAAAACTAAAACTACAAAAAAGTCCATTTGAATTTGCTAAACTTGAATTTAAATGCCCTATAGTAAGGCAGCAGACACAGTAAAAGGTAACTGTCCATTCCACACAATCATAGATGAGTGATTGGTTTTTAAAATAAAATAAGACAAGAATTTAGAACTGAAAATTTGCCACCCGTCTAGCATCCCATATGTTCTAGAATGCATGCATAAAAGAGAACCCAGACGCCATCACAAAGACGATGCAAAAACATGAGCCTACGGTTCATTTTCTCTTTTTTTCCTCTTTGCAACATTTCAATTTTAGTCTCACTTCTCTCATTGGATCCTAGTTTACTAGTCACCCCCCCCCCCCCCCCAGACAAGAAGAAACTAAAAATGTTGACCAAAGAACAGACAAGTTGCTCAGCCTGCTTGTAGGAGAATACAAGAGGCTCTAAATACAGTCTTGTTAGTTTTTTGGGTGCTATCCACACAATTTGGTTGCAAAAACACAACACCTACATTTGGTGGAGTACTAGAAGATGCCAAGCTGGGTAGTAGATAACGAGTCAGCACTTCTCCAGGTACAGGAACAAGAGAGTGAGAGGAATTCTAGAAAGGATGCAACACAATGGCATACAAAAGCTGAACGAAAAGGAATTTAAAATACACCACCATACTAAAGTAAATAATATGGTGTTGGCCAGAACAGTTAAGTGACTCTACAGAATAACTGTAACATTGTGCATAGTAACAGTACTGAGGAGCCAATACATGAATGAAATCTTGTCTTGGATACAAAATTAATTTCTAAACAAGGGAAAACTGCACTAAAAAGCAAAACAAAATTCCAACATAACGTTTTCAGTCACATACAACTTGTTCTTGAAAGATGAGCTATAAATTTATCAGTTGACAAAAGTATCCAACAAATCATATATTTTTGAGTGCAATGGACAATAGGCAGGAGGTAAGTTATGAAAATGATATCTACAATGAACCAAGGATATCAAGATCAACCAACTACCACAAGTAAACACTACAGAACCTCTTTGCACTTGCTATGGTTAAAAATCTTGGTCACCAGCAATTGCAACTTAAACATGAATACAACTGGTCTGAATTAACATTCACACTGACAGTACAAGTACTAAAAGGCCCAGAGTTAAAAAGTTATACCATCAAAAACTTAACTCTGAGGATAGAACCCTCCCACTCTGGACCCACGTACTGTCAGTGCTTAGATGTATTACCACTACTATGCAGTGCACATTCTCACTGCTATTTTAGAGATTACATAAAAATATACTGAAGGGAACAACACTTCAAACACACAATGACTATGTGTACAAAAACATGTAATGAACATGAGCACAAACTTAAACGGGGATCTCTCATAATGCCTACCCTGCAATAAGTCATACATGACTTGCTGTTATCTGGTTGCAAGCTGGGAAATAATCACAAGATTGCATTACAATATTTTTCCATCGCTGACCTTAAGTATAAGGGAAAGAAGCTCTTCTTCATCGTCCTTATATGTTGACAAAGATCCACAACGTCTTATGTCTTTGTCATATATTTTATTTTAGACTATACTCCCAATTTACTCACTTTACAAGAAATCATACATCTTCGGTATCCAGGGTGAACGAACACACAAATATTTCAAATTTTTGTTTAGCAACAGTATGTTCCATAAGACAGAGGAGTTATAATGAATACAGCAGTGACTATTTCGGCAGTGATCATGGCACATTTATTTCTTTAGATCTATCACAACACATACCTGAAGGTACCCACTACTTCAATCTTCACAGACAAAAATGGCACAAAAATCACATTCGAAATGTCCGAGTCACACAGTCAAACCACACTACTTCAAGCCAACCAAGCCATGTGTGAAACCTTTCTCAAAGGATCATGCACTGCGCTCATGATATTTTCCCTTTTCACTTTTAATATTAAAGTGAGGTTTTTTTGTTGTTGATGTTTTTTTTATCCAATAAGTCAATGTATGCATGAGCATTATGGAGAAAATCCCAACATTTAAGTAGTTAACAAGAACAAATAACATGTGACGCTGAAGTGACAGAAGTGAAAACTGGATTCCAAATACACATTCTCGGCCTGCTTTCTTAAAACACATCCTTGAAGCTAGGTTTCATTCCCCACAGCTAAGTCTCCAGTTCCAAGAAAAAAAGTCCAAGAAAGAATATCAGAATCCATTTCCCACTGCCCTGTTCAACATGAACATTGAGGTGATGAGCAATTACGAGGCCTCCTCTTCCTCTGCATCATCATCATCATCATCAGCCTCTGCAGCTTTTCCACCTTTCTTGCCTCCCTTCCCTCTCTTGAGGAACTCTTTTCCTTCTTTAGCTGTGTTCTGCATAGTGCCAGCTTTCTTCATGGGGGGTTTCGGAGTCACTCCCCGGCTCTGAGAGCGGGTCTTGCGTCCAGAATTCACATCCACCTCTCCATCAAGGACATACTTGGCTGTGAAAAATGTAAAAAGGATCATTTAATAATGACCACCCAGCACAAACTCTTAGGGGGCATTATGGTAAAGAAAATGAAACATAAAAGGACATGGAAGGACAGCTGTCTATGTATTCCAATAAATTCGTAATCTCACCACAAAACCAAGAAGGAAAAGGCATGAAGTGTCAGCAGTGTATGAGCAAAAAGTTGCAATCAAAAAAGCTATTGCATATAAATCATCACATGTCATAAACTGAATGAGAATATCCATCAACATATATTATATTTTTTTCTAAATAAAGAGCACACATATATATAAAGAAATATACACACATTCGGAGTGCAGATAACATGAACACAGAAAATCTAAATCACATATAGCTCATACAATTTGCTGTTCTCCATCTGGTATGTCTTTAATGTTTCATTATATCTTTTTACCCAAATTATGGAATTGTCAAACATGTTGGAGTTGTACAAGACCAACTGTACACATAAAATAAAAATAGCACAAGTGGTTGAAAAAGAATAACCTGAGAAGGGCAGGTGTAATTTCATTGTTCACTATCTTTGAAGGGAAAAAAATGTACATCTTGAGTTTGATAAAAGATTGACATATTTTTACCATCAACATTTCCATATTCACTGAAAACAAAGCAACGAATATTTCAAGAGTAAAACTCAAACCTCTAAATGAACTTTAGCAAACTGTTTTCCCTATGACTGTCTTGCATGAAAGTCCTCGAGTTACATAGCAAAAGACCCATCTTGACAAAAGCCATTTGTGTCACGACGTAGAGAAATCAAGCGCTCTTCAATTTGTGGGCGTATGTGGTTATTGGCATCATCTTAAAAGTTGTTCATTTGCCTTGCTTTCGATTTTTAAAAAATATCCATTTATCTTGAACAGAAGTCGAGATATGTGCGATTGAAGGAGGTGAGGTCACCTGGTTTCAGAAGTAAAATTAGTTTTAAAAATGGCCGCCAAAGCTCGGGGACTTCCATAGCCAATGAGTCCTTGGAAACTGCCAATTTACATTTTTGTGCCTTTAATCAACGTTTATCCATAAAATTTACACATAAACATGTTTTTGAATGTACATACAAGGTCTTGAGCCAAAAAAAAAAAAAAAAAAAAAAAGAAATTTCCAAACTAGGTAAAAAATGCTGATTTCTCAGATTTCATTATTTTGACAAGTGCCTGATTTCACCACGCTGCCTCACATTTGATTATCAAATGTTGAACACCATAACCAATTCCAAATGCAATAAACACACTCAAAAGAAAGTATTTCTTAGATTCACATGTGAGGCATCATGGTGAAATCAGGTGCTCATCAAAATAATGAAATCGAAGAAACCAGCATTTCACTGTCCGTTGGGCGATTTTTATAGAATTTTTATTTTTGGAACCAAAACCTTTAACCCTGTCCGTACGCTCTGGGGTTATTAAGTACCCTTGGGGTTGTATTGTTCACATTATAGAATATTTGTAGTCCGAAAATCTCTTTGAAACTTTCAGTATTTCTCAAAAAATCATTTTGACAGACTGCTATGCAAAGCGTACTGATCGGATTAACGTCGTATGGATACGATAGTAAAACACGACATACAGATAGGGTTAAGATTCATTTAAAAACACATTTCTGTGTGGATTTTCCTGAAAAATTGATTTAAGGCACAAAAATGTAAATTTGCAGTTTCTAAGGACTCGCAAGTTTGGAAGTCGGCAAACTTTAGTGGCCATTTTCTCACTAATTTTACATCTGAAACCAGGCGACCCCCACTCTCTTCAATCCCAAAATCTCAACTTCTATTCATGATAGATATAGATGAGTATTTTTTTCAGCGAAAGCAAGACGAACAAACAAGCATTAAAACGATATCAATGACTCCAACATGTCCAAAAATTGAAGAGTGCCTGATTCCACCCATCATGACACATTATCTATTTAAAGAGAGGACCAAGAGACACAAGCTTAAAAAATTACACCATCAAACTGACAGACAATGACCTACCTTCTTCCATGGTTTTTGCAATTGTTGAGTTTTTTTTCAATGGTGTCTTCGCCTTGCCTTTTTGGTTTGATGTTTCTTGCCTTGTATCTCCGAGTTTTTCTCCAGACAAAAGAGCTTTCCCCTCCTGAGGAGGAAAAGTAATTTTAATTACAATGCAGTGATTCTTTTGGTACCTATTAAAAAACAACATTGTCACGAAAACAAATTATTGGCAAGAGGATACGAAAAAAAAATGATGCATGTAGAAAATGATACAATAATGAGTTTGAAGTTTATGGCATAATTATATACTATATAGAGTTTAGAACTGAACTTTCATTTTGTTATTACTAACCTGTTTCTATATAGTATAGTTTAGAATTGAACTTTCACTTTGTTATGATGACAATTGTCTATAGTTAAGGTGAGGTACAATACAGTTGGCACAAGTTCAAAATAAAGGAGGGAGGAAAAGAAGGGAGGGGGAAAAAAACAACACTCAAATCCTTTGACAGGTAGACCCCATGTTCAACAACAACAAAGGACACTATGCATATCCCAATATTATCTGAATTGGAAAACAAAAAAATAAACACATGTTGAGCCAAATAAGGCAAACCCTTAGATAAAACCACCAAAGGAGGAAGATGAGGTGAAGGCCAAGATCCACCTGGTACCGAGACAAATCTCAGACAGATGAGGCACAGCTGGCTGGGGGTAGGGAATATCGCCCAAAACAGACAGGTGGAGAGCCCGTCTTGGCGGCCTAAACCCAATATATTGTGAACAAGGCAGAGAGAGAAAGAGTCGAAATTTGCATATTTAATAAACAACAATATTTGAACAGCTAAATATTTCTCCCCTTCTTCATAATAAATGACTAACCTTTGCAGTAACGGCCATTGTACCATCTTTAGCAAGCTTTGCCTTCTTGGCAGGTGGTTCAGCTTCCTTCTTCAAGTCATCAATTTGTTTCTGTTGACCTCTGGTCTGTGCATCAGCATCAGGTTTATTGCCATCCAGTATGCGATCAGCTTCCTGTAGATGACGATTAGTTAAAACTGAATAAGTCATCTCTAAGTACAAAAAAAATACACAAAAATAAAAAAAATTAAAATTAAAAGCTATCTTCATTTCAAAACATACATTATAAGTCTGCTCACACTGAATAAGGTCAAAGACTTTCAGAAGGCAGTAAATTTAGAACTTTGCCCTGTTGGCGGCCGAAGCCTACTCTTATCGATTTCGGACCACTAAGGGATCTTTAACAAGCGCAAACTTGTAAACGGGACTTCCGAGATTTTTCGCCCCTGTCCGAGAAGGCTGGGTGTAGATCTTACCTACCATAAGATCAGGGTTGTGGCTGAAAGACAGCAATAAGGAGCCAAGGAGTAGCAGCAAAAAGGCTGTAGAAGGAGCCAAGGAGTAGCAGTAGAAAGGCTGCAGAAGGAGCCAAAGAGTAGCAATAGAAAGGCTGCAGAAGGAGTCAGGAGCCGAGAGGAGGGGGAAAAGGAGGTGAGGGGGGAGGGGGCAGAAAGTGGAGATGAAAGCAGACGACAGAACATTGTTAAAGAGCAGGAAAGGATTTGAAAGGAGAAAATATTTTAGAAGAAAACTTTCCGTCACTATCCAGATTCGAATCTGGGACCTATTGAATGAGAGGCAAACACCTTAACCTCCCCCCCCCCCCCACCCCACCCCCACCACCACCCACCAATGGTTTCAACAGGAAAGGCAACGCCAATCCGTCAAAATGTGCGCATGCTTTGCCAATCAAATTTATGAACTTGTATCAAATAATAACTACACAAAAGTATATATATTTTCTGAAAGGCGTTTGAATGAACTTCTATTTTTTGCCTTTGAACACAGAATTTGATTTAATTTACAAGGGGTTATGTAACTTTGAAATCCAAGATGGCTGACATGAAAAATTTACATTCTCATTAGCATATTCACCAATATAATATGTATCATGTTATGAAAAATGAGAGATAGCACAAATATAGGTTTTCAATAACCTTTCAGAAAATGTATAGTTCATAGGTTTGAGAAGAACAAGTAGGGCCTAATGAGGTACGACTGTTTCAACTCGTCATGTGGTCTGTTTCGAGCACAACTGATACTCACAACTTTCACACCATGCTCAACATAAAAACAGTTTTAATGCAACCATGTGGTATTCAGCAACCTTATAGTAGTCCCTAATAAATAGTGTAGCAAAAGGAACCTATTTTACTCTATAGCTCTCATTTGCGTGCCCCTCTTAAACTCCCAAAGGTAGTGTTCCATTTGAAAGAGGATGAGAACTGATATCCCCATTGTCTGTGTCAAATCTAATCCCAATTTTTGACTGATCACCAATAAATCCACCACTAACAGTGTCTGAATTACTTTCCCTAGTCAATTCACTTTCAAATATATCCAACAAAGATCGACTTTTGGCCATTTTAGACCTTCATGAGTACAAGTGCTAGATCTCCGCTGGCTTGTGTTCTGACCCACATGTGACAACAAGCAAATTGATTCTGTTGCCATATTTTTTCATTGAAAGTATACAGTTGATTTGATACTACTGAAAAAGAAATTGAAAGCTATCACAGTAGATGGATTGCATGATTCTTTGTGTTGTTATGTAAGAGCAATTACACAATTTAGGGGGGGATAATAACTGAAAAATAATGAAATTAGCTAGTTTGATGAGTTTTATCCAACTGCTGTTACCACAACCAATGAAATACAGACTGATATTCAATAGAAATGTTTATCTGTCGCCTTTGTAATAATAACACATTCATAGGTATTCCAAAACAGATCTTGTTCAATAAATTGGAGTAATTGAAGTATACACGAAATGCTAGTCAGCCACAACCCAGTCTCAACTGATAGTAGACCAATACCTGCATTCAGCTGCTAATTTTTATTCTATCCTTATAATAAATCGAATACTAGCAGTTGTACCAGGTTTGATGGCATTGCCAGTGCTAGATCTAGACTTTGGGGGCAGGTTATAACTAATTAAATACATTATTCACCTACAACCACTGATGGCAGGTTATAACTAATTAAATACATTATTCACCTACAACCACTGATAGAGTACGACACCCAGTCAACGTCTGGTCAGTTTCATCCCCGCCATCAGTATCGTCACTGCTATTCTCACCAGCTGGAAATTACTATTGATGTCTAGGTCAGTGTGGCTGACAATGTAATCATCATAAAAAAAAGCTTATATTTCTCAAGTTGACCAGCGAAAAGCTTTACGAGGCTTTCGTTTAGTGTTACCTGTTGCCCCAAGCCATTGTTGCCATTGTAAACAAAACGGGTTTGCTTTATTTCAATCGACTTCAGACTAAAAAAACCACGCAAAATTCTCTTTTAAAAGCCACCTATTAACGAAACTAGCAGTGAAGTACTGTGAAGCATTCGATCTTGACACAAATACATTCGCAAGTCGCAAAATATTGCAGAAAATAGCACTACGAACCATTTGATAAAACCATATGAGAAACGAGGACCGAGTCATTCCTCAGCCAAAACCATGTTTGGTCAGCGACGACTGTGACAAGCAGAAAGAGTTAACGACACAAAAATATAAATTTTCAGTTTCCATGGACTCTTTAGCTTAGGAAATTCTTCTTTGATGGCCATTTTCTCACTAATTTTACCTCTGAAACCAGGTGACCCCCACTCCTTCATTCGTAAATATTTCGACTTCTATTCAAGATAAATAGATATTGTCTCCATCCAAAGCAAGACAAAAGAACAAGCTTTAAGAAGATACCAATAATTCTACATGCCCAAAAATTAAGGACAGCCCGATTTCACAGCGCCGTGACACAAATAGGGGAGAAAATTACTCATTAGTTCTTCCAACAAAACCTACCTTCGCAGTATTCACCATTGTATTGTCACGGGGCACACCTGGTTTGTCTTCAGCCAGGCCTTGAGCCTTCAGGAGTCTATTTTTCCCCTCTGACTTCAGGTAATCTATCCCCTCCTGTTGATGAAAATTCATACAAAATCTTACAGATTTGAATGCCATCCAACAAGTATCATCCTTGGATACCATTTTTCCTTTATTTTCTCATCCCGTCATCTCATCTCCTTGTCACAAAGAACACCAAGATCGTACAAAAAGCAGTTTCTTTACCAATGTCTCAATTTGATTCAAAACAATTCACTGAAACAATTTACTGGATCAGTCCCCCACTCAACACCCTCCTCCCCTTCCACCCCCCACCAGGGAATAAATTTTGTTCATTCTTCAAATGATGACAGTCTGTATGTAATTTTGGTTCTCCACCAGGGAACTACCTTCACCCTTAGCATCAATTTCGACTGCATCTACAGACAAGGCAACAATACCTGCACTATCACGTGAGTAAATGCACACCCCCACCCACTCTCCTTTGAATAAAAACATAAAAGGACTACTACTGTTCATCTGAAGATTGTAGGGCTTGCCTAAAAGGCACTCTTAGTAGTCTTGGAGAATAAACCTCACCCACTATCGACAACTGACACAAATAAAGCCCGAATGAAGTAAACTAGACAGGGACATGGCCATTATGTATACAATCAAACTGTGAGAATTGGAAAACAAATTCAGCCCTGACAGGTTCACTTATTTTGGCAAATATGATTGTAGATTGTCACATTCAATTTTCTCAGTGTCCTGAAAATGTCACAATGAACGGAGTGTTTTTTGCACTGATATTTCATATTTTATGCTTTCCGGTACATGGGGACAAAACTTTTTGCCCTCTGCATGCTGTGAGGGGAAAAAGTATAGAGAACTTCTGCGAGTGATTTGTTATAATTAGATCTACACGGGCAGACATCATGTTTTAGGGGTAGATATCCAATTTTTCTTCAGTCATTAGAATTATATTAATTTTCTGGTAGATTTTATATTAATTACTCAACACTTACGAGACCCAATGGAGTTGGAACATGGACATAGTCAAACGTCATTTCACTGCCAGCCCCACTTAAGTCAAACCTCCTTATACATCCATCCCCCACTTACCACCAGGTTTTGCAAATTAATGAAAATGTAGCTCCTATAAAAATATAAACTATGTGCCCCTTTAAACTGCTTCCCGCCAACTCTGAGTTGTATGATCCTCCCTAATGTGTCAGGCTGCAATGGTTGTTGAGTAAAAAATTATAGCACAAGCTCAAGTGAGTTAATTCCACACACTACTCTTTCAGAGAGTGCTTGTCGCCGATCAGCTCCCTTTTCATCAATCTCACTTCTCCACCCTTGTCTTGCAGATTTCAAGCCGCATGAGATTGACAAGTAGCCGCTGATGCTGCAGCTCTCATGTAATTTTCAAGTTTGAATTTGTACCAATACAAGCATGTACCCACAAACACACACACACACACACACACACACACGTGAGAGAGAGACAAAGGGGGAAAAAGAAACAGCTCTAAATACATGAAATCCATGAACAAAAAGACACCTTACAAATCTTTTTAAACGAATCTGTTAAAACATAGAATCTAGTGTTTGGGGGGCTCTCGTGGCCTAGAGGTTAAAGCTAAGGTGTTCGTCTCTCATTCAAACGTTGCAGGTTTTAATTCGGGTAGCGACCGGAAAATTTTCTTCTCTAAAACTGTCTCCTTTCACCTCCCTTCCTGCTCTCTAGCAATGTTCTGTTGTCTGCTTTCGTCTCCACTTTCTGCCCCCACCTCTTCACCTCCTTTGCCCACTCCTCTGGGCTCCTGATTTTTTCTGCAGCCTTTCTACTGCTACTTCTTGGCTCCTTCTTACTGTTGTCTTTCAGCCAAACCTCTGATCTCCTGGTAAGAAAGATGTACACCTAACCTTCTCGGACAAGAGCGAAAAATCTCGCAGGTCCCGTGTGCAAGTTTGCGCATGTCAAAGTTAAAGACCCTTTGGAGGTCTAAAATAAATCGAAAAGAATAGGCTTCCGCGCCACCCGGGCAAAATTCAAAATTTCCTACCAACTGAAAAATGTTTAATGTATCCAGCGCACTCATACGACTTTATGTAGTTGCGAGCGCGTAAAACACTTACAAAAAAACAACAACAAAAAAGATTCTGGTGTTTGATGGTATTTTTAGGGTTTCAGGGGCATGTATCAAAACTCCTGGCTCTAGGAGTTAAAAAGGGTATTGAGCTCTTAAGGGGAGACGTACACTCCCAGAAAAAATTTCTAAACTAATGACCTATATTCACTTTCACTTAATTGAACAAGAAGTTCATGAGTAAATAGGATGTATTAAGGGTGAATTTGTTGTTTTTTCTGAAAAATGAGTCTCTGTGGCAGCCATCTTGGATTTTCAAACCAGTTTCTTAGTGCAGAAGAATTTCAAGGTAAACAATAATAAATAATAATAATGAAGATCATTTCTAACAGCTCTAGGCGCTTTACATAAATGCATGTACGAACAATATTCACGCACGCGACACACACGCACACATAAATACACACACTCATACACACACAAACACACTCACGAACACATAATACGCACACATGTACGCCAAACACACACACACACACACACACACACA